TCTTAGGCTCTCTTGGCTGGCTTTCACAGTGAGGTAGCAAGGGTATATCTATACTGTGTCTGTTACTACAGTAGTTCCCAATATTTTTCGAATTTCAACTCTCTTTTATAATAGCCAAGTAACCTGCGACTCACATTCACATTAAAAAAAAATTAATGGCGTAAAGTCATCCCATTTCAGAAAGTAGAGGCTTCTTTCTCCCCCAAAAGGGCCTGTTTCTCATACATATACGTAGATGCTAACTTTAATATCCCACTCTGAATGGTCAAGGAAGAAATTATTTAACTAGGGCTGCAACACATATAAGGTGACCTGCAACCCCCCAGAAAATACTTTGTGAAACCCAGGTTAGGAAACACTGCTGTAGTACATTGTCTACACGCCATCAGAAGTTATCTATACTTGAAAGGGTTAGAATGAACCGCCTATGCTCATTATTCATACATTGCACTCAAAACTGGTGATCCTTATTCATGACAAATATAAACAATTGTGTCCAATTACATAAACCAGAACTTTGTAACAGCAGAAAAAACGAAGGGTTTGATCTACCAGGCCATTAAGTTCCCAATCTTTGGTAACCCAGATGTTCTTCGACTGCTATTCCCAGAAACCATGGCCAGCATAACTGGTGTTGAACACCTGAGTTAAGCAAGATTGGGAACCACTGTACTAGGCCACTTCGAAGAACTGTGTGGGTCCTAGGGTGGGAGTTGAAAGAATTTTGTTTTGAAACAGCTGGGTAGATAAACTTCTACCCTCCAGATACTGTGGACTACAAATCTTGTAAGCCCCAGTTGGTCAGGCAAATGGCTAGGGACTGTAAGAGCGAAAAACATCAAGCTGCCTATCTAGGCTTTTTGGCAAAGATTTGGGCAATCAGTGGAACCAAATTCAGATGGCTTCATCAATTCCCAAACTCCTATGGAAGCCTTGTTGAAAGCCATTCATATGTGGCCCTTCATACACCCTGGACTTCATATTGACAAAGAAATGTTGCCTCTCTGCTTGAGATGTTGCAGAGGTTATCGTTTATCAAATCATTACCAACAAGATGGCGCCGTGAACGGCAGCCGCGGCTGTGCTCGGCTTGTGTTTTGTGTTTTAGTGGTGTGTTTTTACGGTTTTATAGTCTTTTTAGAGCCGTTATTAGGGTTGTTCCTGTGGCCATAAATGGCTACTTACTATTTCTAGCTATTACTTCTTCGATGGATTTATGGTTTTATGGCTAACTCTTGTTAACTTCTGCCTTCTGCCTCCTCAACATATCAGGATACCAAGACAGCGTCACTGGTAAAGACTTACTAACTCAGCTTTACTGTGCTTATGTTTTGGAGCAATTACTGTGTCTACACCTTGGAGTAATTACGGAAAACTACTCATTGCTTTATGGCGTCCTGTGACCCTTCCCTGATTACATTTACTAGAGAAGAAATTCTAAACATTAGCAAAGCCTCCCCATGTACGTATCCTCCTGTTTTTGTGGATGAAGAAAGTAGTATAATAGCTTTGGTCAAGAGAGGTGCAGCAGCTGTGTATGATACTCGGAGAAGAATTCACCAAAGAGGACGACGTGCTGGCACGTTAAATAGGCTGCGACAGCGTGGAATGAGATCTGCACTTCCATCTATTCATCTTTCCAACCTCCGTTCACTTGTTAACAAAATGGACGAACTGCATCTCATTAATCAGGTTAACCCTGACTTCTCACGCTCAGCTGCTCTTTGTTTTACAGAAACATGGTTAAATGGTTCTGTCCAGGACAGTATAATTGAACTATCAGGGTTCCAGATCTACAGAGCAGACCGCGTACTTGAAACATCTGGGAAATCGAAGGGTGGAGGTATTT